GTATAATAAGAGCGTTTTGATGCTACAGTTATGGATGCAGTCAGAGATTCTGGCTATTGTAGCTGGGAAATGCCTGATCAACAGTGATGGGGTTTTTTTCCGCTGCTTTGTCATTGGAAAGAGAGGAAGCGATATCAGAAAATTCAGGATAAATGCCAAGCTTGTGAAGGGTGTATTAAAATGTCTCAAGGAGTCAGACATCTTTGATAGTATGACTATGATGATACAAATGATATAACCACAGCAACTCCCAGGAGAGGAGTCAGGGGGACAGGATGGACACAACTTGATGGGCTGTTGTTACCATCCAGCAGCTGTTCAGCATCTAGGGCTGAACTTAGTGGCTTTACTGCACTTCCACGGCAGGAGGTAACGTAATGTGATGGAGGTATGTACGTTTCCAGATATGTACATGCTCTGAGAGCTCTGCTGATCACGGGGGAGGAGCTGTCTGCCTCTCCCCAGCACAGGGCACTCCAATGCGGTGGTGCTTTCAGCCAAGCCTGAGCAGGTGAAAAGGTGTCTTGGCTGCTGTCTCTACATCTGGCTCAGCCTCCCCGCAGAAGCAAAGACTTGCTCCACTTGGGATCTCGGCTTGCTTCTCACTGGGCCGCGGCTGAGATCACCAACAGGAGCCCCGACAGGGTGATGCTGCACTGCTGCTGGTGCCCCCGCCGGCTCTGCAGTGGGGTCTTCTCTCAGGACTGCAAAGCCAGTGCTGAGCCCAGAAGGAGAGAGGGACGTTTGGAGGAAACGAGCAGAACTCGGCAATGGCAAAGGAGAAACCTTCTTTTGTTACCAATGTAAATCCCGACTGCAGATAAAAGTGCTGCTCTGGGACTTGAAGTCTTTTTGAGGCTGTCTAGAGGGACGAGCTGCCGGGGCACAGGGCAGGAGCCCTGTGTCCTGCCTGGTGCGGGGCGGGAGCATGGTAGGTAAGGAGGGCTCGGCAAGGCATCCAAGGAGAAGTGGGAACCCGGCACAGGGAGCTGCCGCAGCCACCGTGGGCTCACCAGCCGCTCTTCCTCCCCCACCCAGAGCGGGTCCTAAGCGTGTGCTGGGGAGGCAGACACTAGTGCGGGTTCTCCCTCTGGGGCTTCCTGCAGGGGCAAAGCTGGAGCTGGAACTGGCCCCAGGTCAGAGGCAGCGTCCCTCGTCCCTCGCCTTTAGGTCTGGGAGCCCTCACTGTCCTCCTGGTGTGTCCAGCTGTTTGCTGGTGACATGCATGGCGTTTTGCTGCAGCACCTACGCTGCTGCACGAGAGAAGGCAGGGGAAAGCCGTGCCTGCAGTTACGCTGGAGTCTCGCAGCTGAAAGCAGCAGAGGTGTTGCAGCTGAAACACCACCATAAAGCACCAAAAAGCTGGTGGGGCATTTTCCTGGGTGGGGGGGGTCTTTGCTTTGTCCCAAACCTAGGACTTTTTTATAAATCTTCCAAGCTGTGTCATATCGCTCCCCTTGCCTCCTGGCCAAAGGCACTGTTTGTGGAGGCTTTTGCCAACAGCACAGCCTCGTCTCTGTTGTGAGCCTTTTATTGGTGGAGCACATGGCCAACACACATGAACATTTACGCTCTGTTGCAAAAAACGTGCGTTAGATGCTTGGTAAATTACTGGTCCCACCAAAGCTTCGGGGATGACAATGACACTTTCTCTGGGAAAGGGCTGGAGTAGGTAACTTGTAATTACTATAAATACGATTTTAAAAAACAAAGTCAAGTTCATCCTGTGCCTAAATACAAACCTAGCTAGAAAGTTACATTTAATAAAGAATTTAACATATGATAATAACTCAAGAAGGCTAAAGCAATGCAGAATGTAGTTTGATACTATTTTTTCAAAAGACTGTAACAAAAAGTAGCTGCTCTTACTGACCCAAACCTGGCCCTTTTTACTAGAAAGTTTGGCTTAGCAATTCACTGCTCATAAATGTTATGAGGGGCTGAGCCAAAGAGTAGCTACAGAAGGGAAATCCTTTACCTACCTGTTATTTGCCACTCATGTCAACTTACTGTGGTGGCACCGCAGCCCCCATAAGCCAGGTGTTGTTACCAAGGGGCACGGGGATCCCCTGCACCCTCTGAAGCTGAGGGCACCCGGGAACAATGCAGGCAGCACTTTTGCTGGAGGACTGGGGTCTCAGTGGGTGCTTTTGGTTGGTAGTGGCCTCAAATGCCCAGCTTTTCTTAACACAGGCTGCAATTATGAATTTATAGCCTGATGGAGCTACTTTTGATAGCACAGGATTATGATACGCACAGAACAGGAATGCAAAATCAGTGAGGGAGAGCAACCTGGTGTGCGGCTCAGAGTGCCAGTGCAGCAGTGGCTTGTATTGCCTCCAGCCCTACCAGTGCCATGGGTGGCTGCTTATGGCTTGCCCTGTTTCTGATGAGAGTAACTTCTAGGAGAGAGGGAATAAAACAGAGCCACTGTCTCTCTGCTCATGGTATGGTCTCTCTTCCAGCTTAGCCAGGCCTCTGAACCACAGCTGCAACCAGGCCAGGATGATGTCTATAATGTAAGTAACTACTGGGTTTTGTTTGTTTGTTTTCAAACCTGCTACCCAGACAGACCTTTTGGGGCACTTAGAGATAGTGAATTGCATGCAGATCAGAAAGACTTTGGATGACCCAGCTAATGAAAGTGCTATACCCAAGTGGGCAGCACAGCCCTTGTAAGGAGGAAAGAAAACCTGTCAAGGGCAGCTTCTGTTGTCATTTGTCTGGCTGGATGCTAGATAGATAGGTGGGCTGTAGGGTCCTGATTCGCTCCACTGAGCTGAAGGTATACCAGGAACCCAGGCCATTCCAGAGAGAGTGCTCGGTGTGCTGCACCATGCACTGCGCCTGTGAGATCTCTGAGAGAGTGTGTGTGTGTGCAGCCACCGGACTGTTCCGTACGATGTGCACACCCCAGTTTCTCACCCAGCCCTCTGCAGCTGGCTTGCACCGCTTGCTGATCGTCATTCCTTGGGCGACTCAACAGGCACGCCGCCACCCGTGTTGCCGATGTTATTTGATGTGGGCTGGAGAAAGGGCAAACACCCAGGACTGCTGTGTTGCTGACTTTGGGTGGCTGTAGCTCTTGTATCGCTGAGCGCGTGGAGCCTGAGTTGTCACAGCCCGGCTGCCTCCGTCCCAAGCTTTCCCGTTGCCCAGCAGCATGAGGCCTGTGGGGCCGGGTCACACTGGAGGCGTACCTCATCGGCTGAGCCCTAATGGTAGCCAGCATCAGGTGGCTCTTCAGGCAGGGAAAGTGGTCAGAGACAAGATCCTGTCTGTCCTTCCTAGCTAAATCGCTCATTCATGACAGAATTAAACTCTAGCTATTTTTGTGATGTCTAGCTGTCTTTTGATTTTAATTTTTTTTCTCTCACGCTTTTGACCATAGCCACATCCTGTGATGAGTTCTACTGTTTAACTGTGTAATGTATGAACACTAATGCATTTTTCTCAGTTTGAGTGCTGCCTGTCACATTTTCAGTAGCACTCTGTCAGCTGTGTTATTCTGACCTGAAATCTCTCCCTTGCCCTCTTCCCAGGTAACCTTTCCCAGCTAAGAAATGTGCTGCGCATAAAATTTCCGTAGCTTCTTGATGCAAATTTAGACGAGCAGCTCTGCAAGAAAAATCAAGCTCATGGATCTTCACCCACCAGTGGGAGAGAAAGCATGAAAGTCAGCTTTCCTCCCCCATGTGCTCTCTCATTTTCAGCTCATTTCTACTTAAGAAAGGTTCTTGATGCAATGGCTTGCAGTTTTGTGCTGCACAGGCCACTCTTTGTCATTTCCATGGCTTAGTTGTAGACATTTTTGTTGACAGTTGCATTAAGGGGTAAAAATGATTCCTAGCTCAGTTACAGTACTGGACATCAAGCCAGGTTCCCTTTCTTTTCCTGTGTTAACTCAAGATTTATTTTCTTACGATCATAATTTCCGTCACTGCTTCTTGCTTTCTTGTTTCAGAAACTGTCTCGTGGACACAGAGATGAATACGATGTTCTGGGGGCAAAGCGAGGTGCAGACCCTGAGCTGGGCGGGAGACACCAGGTAACTTTCTCCCACACACGTTCCTTTTTGCTCTTAATCGGGTCCCTTCTTTCTCGTGCCTAACTGCTGTTTAGACAGGCAGGCCATCATCACGCGTTTGCAAAGCACAAGCACCTTCCTGGAGAGGGAACGACAAAAATCCATGTAGCAACTCAGGCGGATGGCAGCATGGTGGGGACAAGAGTAAACCTCCCCCCCTCCTCTTCGCTCTCTGACCCTCGTGTCCCCCCATCGCTTCGCCGAGAGCTTGCAGCCACCCAGAATAGGAAGTGACACCCCGCCTTGGGGCGGATGTGGAGCAGGCAAGGCAGGAGTGGGTGTTTCACGAGAGCTTGCCACACATGATGCCGCCAAACAAGCGCCAAAGTGCTTTACCAAAACAAGTGTTTCTGCTGCAGAGTTTCAAAAGAAAAGGGAGGGGTAACCTTCTGCATCGGCGCATAGGGCTTGCCTGCAGGTGACAGCTGTAGGGACTGGGCAGAGGCGAGCTAAGTCTTATCAATGACTAAAATTAGATTAATTTTCCAGAGCACAAGTTGTCTTAACAGAGCCTTATGAGTGGAGGCAAGATGGGCTATAATGGGTATGGCACGTCCATAGAGCTGTAGCTGTGCCTCAGAGCAAATGCACAGGCGCGTACGAGGTGGTGGGGGATGCTGGTAGTGCAACACGGGGGCAACTTTCTTGTTTTGTTTTACAGCAGAGAAGAAAGAACCCTCAGGACACCATCTACACTGTGAGTAGAGAGTGCTGGAGGGAGAGGAGAGGCAGGGAGGGCTGGAAATAGGAGTTTCATAGGAGACTTTTCCCCCCTACCCAATTTCAGCTTTGGTTCAAACTTAACAGCTGCTTTCAAAGGCTTCTCTTCCCTTCCACACACCACCACCACCCCACCCCAGCTTTTTTGCTAGAAAATTTCTGCTCCCTTCTCCATGGTAGGAGAAATACATTGGCAGATGGGGAAAAGAATTTGGATCAAGATACCTGCTGATCCCTTTATGTTAGCCATTAGTGAATCATCAACCATTGGTCCTATGTGACCAATGCTGCAGTATTTTGTGTGCTTGTTCTCCAGCCCCTCTGACTGCTCTCTGACAAAGGCCAGATGCCAGTGCATCTACGAGTGGCTGTTTAGGAGCCTCTTGATTTAATTGATTTCACTCTGGCTAAATGTGATGGTCTGTGCTCCAAAGGGTAGCTACGTGAAAGCTGAAGCTCATGTCTTAACTGGTGTCTTGCTGGATGTTGGCTGCTTGCTGAGAAATGAGCTTGTTCTCCAGACTGGCCTTCACTGTTATTGAATTGAACTCTCAGCTGGCTGTAAGCATATGGGAACTGCTTCCCCAGATGGAGGAAGGAAGAGCTCCTCTTTTTTAACATTCACTCTGCAGTGTTAGACTTCCCCTTCCTCTGGGCCTGAGCTGCATGTTCAGGTTTGTCTCCTGAACAAATGCTGCTTAAAGCTTTTCTTTGGAGAGCTTTGATTGCAGTATCTGGTGCCAGTTGAGATAAATGGCTTGGTTGAGGGTAGAGTTACATTTGTTTCAGTGTTTTTGGAGACGAGGTGGTATTGATATGCTATGCAGATTTGCTCATGTAGAGCATCTACTTAAATGCGTGTTGGTCAAGTCCTACCACTGTCCCTTCTTCTCTGGAATATATTGAAGCTTTGGAGGCAAGGCAGCCCCAGAAGCACAGGCTTGGAGTGCAGTCCCCCATGGGTTGGCTTGACTCCTCTAGTAACACACTGACTCTCTCCCCCGGCTCTGCTTGCAGGCACTGCAGAAGGACAAGATGGGCGAGGCATACAGTGAAATTGGAATGAAGGGAGAGGTGAGTCCTACTTTCCTTCCTGGTAAAAGCCTGGGATGAAAAATTCTTCATTGCCACTTCCTTACAGAGCAGTAGCCCCGGCTGCACGTAGCTGCCTTGCGCAAGGCAGGCCCCGCGTTGCACAGCACCTGCAGGCACAGCTGAGAGCAGTGACCTATTTCCTGTAGTAACCGGGGTGCTCGGTGCCACTGTAAGACTGAGGCGTAGCTGTAGCGTTATAGTAGCCATAGAGCAAGGTGAGGTCAGACAGTCGTCTTTGTCCCATCAGCATTAGCAACACAGCCCCGACACCAGCCATGCCCCTGGGCGGGTGAAATCATGCCAGGGGAAAACACTTCAACATTTGGACAGAAAAATTCTGACGGCTGCCCCAGCTGAGGAGGCAGAGGGTATGAGATGGGTGAGAAGTAGCTGAAGGAAACGTCTGGTTTCAAGCACTGCCATGTCTGTGGCCCAGCAACTCACACTAGTCAAGCACGTTCCTCCAAAGCAATTCAGAGCTGGAGGCTCACGGTTTCCCCTCTATGGGCTGGTCTGCTTTATAGGCACAAGTAAGCCTTTGCAAGCTCCTCCTTGTGCCTATCTTCAGACAAGCGATGGGGGAAACATTCTCCTTCCTCCACCTCCACTCTCAGATGTTTAAGGAACACATCAGTTCTGTCTCAGGCCAGCAGCAAAGGGATAGGTTTAGCTCTGTGCACAGACTGCTGGGGGAGGGAAGCTTATGTGAAAACAAGCCATCTGGAGACACTGTTTGTGGCAAAATGAAAAATTGCTGTGACCTACACAGGTTCAATTTTATGTCAAAGTGTCTTACATACAATCTTTCATTTCCCTCTGAAATGTGAAAAAAAGGGGCATTTCAAAACGAGGTGCAGTGTTGAGAAATGCTGAAGTAACACCCACATTTAATCCCCTCCCCTTTTTTATTCTAATACCCCTCTGCCATAGTCAAGCTCAGTTTACGAGCTACGGGTTTATAAAGTTGCACCATGTTTTTATGAATGCTTCTGTCACTGGAGGGACAGGGACCCCAACCCCTTGCTTCATTCTAGATGTGTGATCATTTAACAGGCTGCTGGAATTTTAATTGTAATTTAAACTCTTTGCCGCATATTTGTGACACAGTCAGTGCTGTATCACTGCTGCGGTGGGGCAGTTAGGAGAAGCCATGGGCTCGTTGTGCCAGGCTCCATCCAGAGGCTCTGCTGTCCCTGGTTCTCACCCAGGAGTTGCACTCTGGTGCACAACTTGGCTGCTTTGCCTGGCAGCTCCCCGTACCCCTGGGAATGCAGCAGCAAGCGAGTTCAAGGGGAAAGTTTTTCTTTGTACCTGGCTGGTCTGAGTGACCTTGTATGTGTGCTCTACTTGTACCATGACAGTCCCAGCACCTGTTTTACTCAGTCTGGCGTGACTTTGTCCTCAGGCAGCCTTATCTGCAGTTCCTTTGAACATCTAGAGACCTTACAAAACGTGTGCTGGAGAATTTACTTACTTATCCATATCTGTCCAATGGAGAGCAGAGTCCCTTGGACACCAGCTGACATGTGGCAACTCAAAAAATACAGACCCATTTCTTCCAGGTGTGCCTTCAGCTCATAAAACAATCAGTGTCTACAGGAAGGCTGCTGAATCTCTATACATACAGTAAATGAAAGAAATAGCAGCATCATAACACTATGACAGGAAAATATGTCAGCAAACCAAAATAATTTCCTTTTCTTTCCAGGCCTTGCTGTTTTCTCCTTCACAGCCCTTGTAGCATGCCTGGGCTGGTGCAGACTTAGCAGGTGCTTTCCCTCCTGCACAGAGGGTGCCCAGGCCAAGCACAGCTGCTGACCCTCCGTACAGCATGGGGGAGGTCAGGGGTTTCTTTCCTTTTGCATAACCGGGAAAGCACCCGTTAATCTGTGCTTGTTTTTCTTTCCCAAAACAGCAGAGGCGGCGAGGCAAAGGGAACGAAGGCCTCTACCAGGTAGGCAATGCATCCAGCAGCTGCTCCCCTCATCTATCTTCATGTTACAACATTTTAGTCGTAGGCTGCAGTTACGTATCTAACTGCGCTGGTGGTGATGTGTGACGAAGCAGAGCTTTCAAAGCACCTTCCTGGGGGCAGATACTGGGTTCAGGGCAAAGACCACGCTGCAGGTACTTTGATAAAGCGGCTGCACGTTCTAACTACAGCTGGCTGGAACACGTGTTTAGCTGCTCTGGTAGGAACCATTTCCACAGTCTTGCAACCTAGAGATCCACATTTGACTGCGGCAGATGACGCGTGCAGTCCTCTCTCCAAATTGTTCATTGCTTAAATGGAACCTTCAGGCTGCCAAACAGCTGGCCTAACTCAAAGCCTCAGTGGTTCAGCCCATCTCGCTGTGACGTAAGGAGCACAAACTGGCCAGCACCTCCAGTCCCTTGGCGCGCTGGGGGGGTTTCAGCATTGCGGGCACGTAACGGAGGGCAAAGGAGTCCATCGATAAGGCCTGATTTGGGCTGCCACGCGTAATTGTTCCAAAAGGCATTTTACTTTCTGTAGAAGCCCGTACATCGCCATTGACATTTCAAAATGGCAAAAATAAAATATATATTAAAAAGTTCTTCTGATGCAGCACGTGCCAGGGAGTTGTCCTGTAATGTGGTGTATTTGTAGCTAATGGCACCTTTCTTCAAAACCTGCTCTGCTGAGATAGTCACAGGTAGCTGATAAGAAGTGCTACCTTATCAGTGTGCTCAGTGTGCCACTAAATACCCATAGCAGAGGAGCAAAGGGTAGCCAGAAGTTTTACAAGCAGGCACCACGTGTCTTAATAAATCCTCACTCTTGGAAGCCCCAGTTAGGTCTGCCCTGGCAGCCTCCTGGGCTGCCCCGCACCCCTGCCACCCCTCCTGCGGCCCTGCTCCTGGGACAGTCGGGTCCACAGCCGCAGCAGGGACCTGTCGCTCACACTTTACAGCTGACAGACCACCGCCAGAGCAGGCTGGCAGGAGAAGGGCTGCTGCCTCGCAGGGAGGGGTGTGAGGGGATCCTGCCCCGGGGTTCACAGCTGTCTGAAGCCCCGCTGCCAGCTTACCCACAGTTGCATCTCACTTCCTTTCCAAATTAAAAAGGAGCAGTGCAGAGCACAAAGTTCATGATTTAATGTCTATTCATTTAGTTTGCAGACAAAGTTCATGCTAGCATCAGTTAGCTCCTAATAGTCAATAATATGCGAATAAAATGTCCTCTAAAGATCTGCATAACTGGTTAGGATGAGTTGCTGTAGTCATACGCTAATCTCAGTCATTCAGGATGCATCTTGCCTTCGGGTAAGCGGTAGCTATTGACACCAAACAAAGACCAATGGATCAGCCATGAGTAAAAATCTCTGTAGGAAAACAAAACTAAATTTAGAGTTGTGCTGTGGAGCCCCTGCCACCCTGTTCCTGACCAGTCGGCGAGGGCAGCTAAAAGCACTCACGCTCGTACCTCACCTGTTTTTCTCTTTTTCAGGGACTCAGTGCAGCGACCAAGGACACGTATGATGCTCTGCAAATGCAGCCTTTGCCCCCCCGCTAAGCGGGAGTCACCGAAGGGAAGGGCAGGAGTGAGCGATGCCCACCTGCTTTGGGGAGGGGAGGAGGGCAAGCCTTGCTCATCCAGAACAAACACTGTGTGTTTTCTCAGTGCAACAACCTACTTCGGCTGGCGCATGGAGGGAGTATGTCTGGACTTGGTCAGTCCTTTCTCCCTTCCCTCCTGAATCATGTAACCGCAAGCTTTAGCTATTAAACTGTACATATCTTTAAAGTTGTTGCCAATAATGGGGGTTATTAGGCTGATGTTTGGAAGATTTGTGTTGTGGGACCAGACCACACCTACTAACACAGCTGTTTCCATAGCTCCTACTTGCCTTTCGGGGGGGATCAAGAGATGTAATTACGGCTTCATTGCATTTAAAGAACTTGTAAAGATAGAGCAGTAGTTATTTCCTGTAGTATTTATCTTAAGACTATTTGACACAGGCCAGCTAAACCTTTTGCTTTAAATTTACCTTTTAAAAACTGCTTCAGTGGAGGATGACTTTTTTCTTTTAATTGTAAAAAGTGATGTGATGTTACTGTACTGAAGGACAAGGGCTGAACAGCTGCTGTTCAGTAGGATGAAAATGAGCACTAAGCTCCAACAGAACCAGGCAATGGCATTGCCTCTCATCCAGCACCTGGAGCTAGACAAGAGCCAGGTAACCTGTGTAAGAGACTTCTCAGAAGGCAGCAGATACCTCATTGCAATGAAAACAAGGAGAATGGACTCTGACGGAGAGTGATACTGGAAAAGCCAGGAAAACTCACCCTGGAGAATCCCATTTGCCCAAAGGGTTTGGCTGAAACATCTGCCCCCTCACATTAGCCACATCTACAACTACCACTGCAGAACAGGCTCCCCTGTTGTACAGTAATTCTGGTGTCACAAACAGACCCAAACTATCACTTCCGGGCAACAGAAACTGCACAAAAGCCAATGTAAAGAGACCAGTTTGGAAACTGCATTATTAGGTGACCTTTAAAGATGATGCAGGTATCATTGCGAAGAGCTACTTGTTCAATAATGTAACACATTTCTGGTGAACCAATAAAGCGAGTGCCAAAGACCTCTGTGTGCCCGTGCGCCGTGAACGGCGGTGGGAATGGTGCAAGCCCATGAGCTGATGTGGTCAGGGTGCCTGGACCAATGTCCACCCAGCAGCATCGTCTCCTGGGTAAGCCGAGGAGGTCGGCGTTGCAACAGGCGCTTCTAAACACGTCCTGGGAGGTGGGGTGGGGTGTTGGAAAAATGCCGTAAGGCCGAGTCTGAAAGAGACCCTCGCCTCCTGCCGTGTCCTTGGCTTTGCCAGTGACTTACACGACCACACAACGAAGCCTGTAAGCAACTCAGCAGCAAAACAAAAGGTGTTTGAACTGGAGTCAGGAGCCGAGCAGTTCATTCTGCCAGTCCCGATGGAGGGAGCGGAGCTGAAGCAACACCGGGGGAACACAACCGCCGCTGTGGGCGCTGCCCAGGTGAGGGTACAGGTTTGTTTCTTAGGGGGCTGGGTGAGCAGCAGAAAAACTTGCTGCAATTGCTGCTCTGCAAATCACAAGGCTGGGCCTAACTTCTTGAGCAGTGAAACTGCACCTGCAGTAGGTGCCTGTAGGTTTTGAAGAATATTTCCAAGACGCTAAATTAGGGCAAAAAAAGTAAACTGAGACATCCCATGCATGGCAATGAAAGGCTCTTGCAAAGAATTTCTTAGACCCCTTACTGTTCTTCTGCAATGATAAGAAAAATCTGAGAATAGTGTGATACCTCAAACAGCTGAGCCAAAACCCAGAGTGGCTACTGCTGAGCACTCTTGTTCTTGATGCAAGAACAAAGAGTACTGAATAGCTTTCTTTTTCATGATAACCATATTTGCAAGATGTAGAAGTCAAAAGTCTCAGCAGTCATAAAATGCCAACCCCTAAACAATGGGAAAGAAATTCTTCGGGGGGGAAAAAAAAAATCATTTTCATGGTCTTTATCTATAAATGGATCTTGATTTCAAAAAGCATCCGACGCTTGTTTCGGGGACACTCACCGTAGGTGTGAGCCGAGTCTTCTCTTTGCCTTCAGGAAGCAACTGAAGCTGTTTTTTCTTTAGGAGAGGAGATGGTAACACAGAAGTAGAACAAAAGCTTCAAGCAGGGTGCAAAAAATCCCTGGGCTCCCCTCCATTTTGTCAAGACAAAGAGCGTGAAAGAACAATCTTCTGGCCCAGTTTGGTGCACCGGAGGGAAGGGGAATCGGCCTTCCCCCGACACATTTAAAAAACTACGAACAAGCGCATACATGTTAAAACACTTGGAAAATGGTTTAATGATGTTTACAACAGAAATGAACTGTACAATTACAGTAAGTTTAATATATATAAAAAAATTACAGCAGACAAATGCATCTACACAAAATCTACCTTTTCATTCTGATTTACTGTAATCTACACAATCTCTCAATGCCTACAGCTATCTGTAGGCAACCACTGGGAAAATAATAATAATAATAATAATAATAATAAAGGACATCTTTAAAGAGACAGCATTTCGCCTTCCTCCTCACCCCTAGTGTGATCAGCAAGGTTTTGAAATGTGTGGGACTCTCACATTTCAGTCTATTTCAGTCTCAAGAAAAGCTTGGGTTGTGTTTGGGTACAGGTACTCCCATATGGCCCTTGATTTCAAGTGTTCTCTGACCTGAAGCGTATAAATGCAGTATATGAGGAAGGGCAAGCGAAAAAACCCTCCCAGCCAGTGTAAGCAGGCGGTTGCACAGAGTAGTGAAACCATTAAGACCGAAAATTGGTCTTATTTAGAAACGAAGCAAAAGGGACTGCCCAGACGCTACAGACTTTCACAACTCCTTGTCTCTTTGAAAACTATTGCCAGATTCAGAAGAAAGGGCTTGTTTTTCAACTCCCGAGTCTTCGTACAAAGGATTAGTTTTCAAACTAACGTGTTAAAAGATTTTCTTAAAACAAAATTTAAGCTACTTCCTCTTTGGCCCATCCCTTAAAAACAGTGAAAACCCCTTTACGCTGAGAAAGAGCCTCAGGTCTATGGGAAAAAAAAAAAAAGAACATGCTGTCTCTTTAAAAAGAAAGAAAGAATCCCAGTCGGGAGCGGCCGTCAGTGAAAATGCAATCCAAATTGGCGGTCTGGTGGAAATTCCTCATGGAATATTATGTACAGTTTAAAAACCCTTAGTTGTTTTTTTTTTTTTAATTTATTTATGAACACCTAGGCAGTGAAAACTGTTATGTTAATACATACATAGACACACCCAAAACATACAAAAATACTATTATTTCAAACTACTAAGAATAGGACAAGTTCAGTTATCTCCATGCTATGACTTTAAGAGCATTACACTGAAACAAACAAGAATTTAAACGACAATTTTTTAATATCCCAGAAATATACCAAAATATACATCTAAGCTTTGGAATTACTGAGGTTAGACTAATGCAAGTGCTGGGTAATCGTACTTAATACACAAGTCTAAGGTTCTGCAGGAAAGAAATTATCTTTGGTATCTGCATCAGGCTAATAATATTAACATTTGGATTTTGCTTTGGGATAGAGCTTGTATGACCCTAGAACCAAACACCCCCCAATCAACTGAGATTAAAAAGATCCATGTAAAAAGTTCCTCCATTTGCAACCCCCCCCCAAAAGTTAAAAAGTCACAGGCATCTACCTAGCATAAAAGGTTGAGAAATACAATGCATAGTTGCACAGTGGTGCTGCAAAAACAAAAGAAATCTAGAAAAAAGGAACTAGAGGAGAAATGAAAAGCTGCTTCTTCTTCTTTCAGGGATTTCTCACAACAGGACAGCCTCTTCCAAGCAGTGACGGGGGGAGGGGGAAGCTCAGAAGTGCACCTCAGCGTGTATTAATCAACATCACCCAGCCCCCAGAGGGTTAAAGCACCCAGCAGAGCAGC